CGTAAAATGGAGGTTCTTGTTCGTGTTCCGGAACTGTAGAGATGACTGAGTCCGAAGAAAGTGCCGCGGACAGCAAGGAAGAAGCCAATGTCACATATCAAACTAGGGTTAGATTCCGGTCAAACAATAGGACACGAGCCTTTTATAGTCATTTTCTTTGTTTGAGGAGATTAAGCTTGAAGTATCGACTCTAAGCCCAATAACTCAGCGCGAAATTTAAAATAATCGGAAATGGCTTAAGTTACAAATATAATCTGCTTTAGTGGAGGGGTAAGGAAGTTTTTGTTAACAACAACTCCTCACTTACCGGGTAATGGAAGGCAAATTCGTGAAGGCACAGAGGGGGAAGGGGTCAAACTCCACGACATATTAGAGATTGAGAACTCAGGCGATTTCGCGTTATATTTACTGAAGTAAAGCTAAAAAGCAAGTATTTCGTGCCTTTGTAACCCAAGCCAAAATAAAACGCACACTATTCCACATTTAAAGTTTAAAAAACATTAGTGCTACAGTACTGCGCTACGAGCATTAATATGCAAAATTAAAAAAAGTTTCGCGCCACTGTCAATCGTGCAGAGAAGTTTGTTCGACTTACTTCGCGTCCCTTTGAAAAACACGCTCTATCGCGCTGCTATGGCGCCAGCGGAACAAGAAATTATCTTGGCGCCTTTACCAACATTTACATTTCTAAAAACTATTGTGCCATAATCGTCTCTCGAAACAACCATAAACAACCAGGTAGTCATACCTCTGCGACTTCATTAAGCCTAAAAATTTTCGCTTCTATCACGTCTTTTAAAAACTCACGCTCTTGCAAGGTCTTGTCGTCCAAGTCGCACAAGGAACTTCCTTTCCAACTTGCTAAACATCCAAAATCATTTTCGCACTTTTGGTGCACGAGCCATACAATTAACTCTCCCTACAACTTTTAATCATTCAACCCGTTTTGTGTATTTCTAAAAATCACGTTCTTTCGTGTTATCATTGCAGAGACAAACAAAAACCTCTCTGCGACATTATCAACAGTCAGTATTCGAAGATGTTTTGGTGCCTTTGTCGATCGAGCCAAATTTTAGGCTATTTTCTTTCTCTGAAACTCCCTCGCGACTTAAACGGGCCCAAAAGTTTTCCTTGTCGCTTACAAAATCACCCACTCTTTCCCTACTGTCGTTCAAGCCTATCGAGTAACCGTACTTTGTGTAGTAATGGTCATCCAAAATCACAAACCTACTCTCTCTTGTCGATCGGAGTTCACTCTTTTCTTGAACTATAACTCGAATTTATTCTTTTGAAATTCGTGCTCTTCTAATGGCATTGTTCTCTTGTTCTACGGTGAAAGGTTTGCATGGCAATTGTAATGGTAATGTAACTCAAAGATTATAGAGACGCGTGTCGCAAGAAAAAACAGTGTGAGCCAACCTTTAGATCGACTTAGGAGCTAAATTGTACGAAAACTCCAGGTTTTACCACAGATAAAATGTTCAAGAGCCAACTATTAGGAGCGCTGTTGTTTCCTCTTTTTTTTCTTAATTTCAAGTAGGTTTTGAAGAAGAAATATATTTCCACGAAACATTAATTTTCTCGTTGTGACGAGTTAATTAGAATTTTTCATCACAAGACTTGAAAGTTTCACTGCTTTGCAAAGTTTTCATTCGAACAAGCTAAGCCATTTCAGCCTCTCGACCCTAAATAGGAATGAAGGTCTCCCAGTTTTTAACTCATCAATCATGCAGGATTAAGAGAGTCGAACATATTCTTGGGCTTCATTGAAGACAGAATAATTGTTTTTTTTTTTTTTTAAGTAAGCTTTCACTTTTAGCTACTTCCAAAGGCCATTTTTCCTAAAATGTTCTTCGTTCGTGATCTTGTTACTTCAAAAAATTGCGTTGCAAAATAACTTAAAATGCTAGAAATTCTTGTAAAATGCGTGACCTGTTATATCAAATACTAGTAGAGAAACTTATGGGGATATTTCAAGGTTTAGTGGTTGGCAATAAAAATAATTAAAAAGCAATATATCGCCTGGGTAAACTTTGAAATGTACTCAAATGGTAGCTACGATATAACAGTAAGAAAATCTTACCTTTCCCTTCTGGTAAAAGGGAAGTCAAAACGGTGAGAAAGAAGCAGCAGAATACGAAGGGCATGTTCTCAGAAAAAGTTCATAGTTGATAATTCCAGCAAATTGCCACAGGGAGTTTCAAACCTTTAGGGAAACATCAGGAAAAACATGAATGCCTAAGTTTAATCTGCGTTCAAATACTCCATTCCTTAATTATTTATAATATTCTCAGTGGTTGTCATAACTGAATAGGATCCTCCAGGATGTACTTGGCTGGAGAAACTCGATAACAGATACTGCCTATCAATAGCCTTTAATTGTCTTCTATGTGCTTTTCCTGCTTGGCTTATCTGTCTGTATGAGTTCAATGTATGGAGCCCAACAACTTGAAGACTGTTTACTAACTATTTGCATGCTCTCCTCGTCCGCCCACACTTGACCGAAACATTAAGACCACCCGTTTTAATATAACAAGTTAGTTAATGTCTCGAAATTTTCGAAAAACTGCGAAACTACGTATGGTTTTGATAATGTTTTTTTTGACAATAGTTTGTGGCTATTTCGCGAGGTATATGGTCAAATGTTATTCAAATTTAACCTGCGCCATCACCTCATCCCCCTTCATGTCAGGATCCTTTCATTTTCCGTTTTATCGTTCAATTTTCAAAAAATGGGCGAAAGGTCCTTTGCATTGTTTATTCGGAATTCATTGCGGGAGGATTTGTTGTCCACGGTTTTTAACATAGTATTGTTCATCCTCGCACATCGCACAAATCACTTCAAAACTGAACATCCCTGAAGGACCCTCGGGAAATGATGGTGTTGTTGCGATACGCTCAGCAAATTTTCAGCCGATCGAAAATTTCATGGCAAGTTGTAGGCCGACTACTGAAAGCTCAAAATCTTGCACACCTGCATCCTGGACAGTCCGGGACTCTCGGGAGCCATTCAGAGGTGTTTATTACAATTTCCCTCTGCATTACATTTCAATGGTCGACGATGGCCGATCTTTAAGAAATATGAAGACTTCCATTCGGACTATCGATGACGTCAGAGACAGTATGAGTTCGTAATCAGTCTTCAATTCTAAGAACCAGCCACACCAGAGGTAACGTCGAGGGGATTTAGGACGGTGTGAAATACTGAATGCCCATGATTATGCGACATTTTTTCGGATAAGTAACATAAAGCATTCGACGTACATTATTGGACCAACACTAAACCTCCCAAACCCACCAACCTCCCGCCCCATCTTATTATAAGTTGTTGTGCCCTCTTAAAAAGTGCTAATTGCAGAGGAATTTCGTTGGGACATACCGCCCAAGACTCTTTTTAGACACAAAACCTCTTGTTATAACCTGAGCACTGACACACACACAACAACAACAACGAAAAAAAAACAACTCTCAACAGCAAAAATGTCATTTTATTATTTAAACCAATTTTAGTTTGCAAAATGTCTTTAAAAAGACTGAAACAAGATTATGAGCAGGACACCACAAAGACTAAGAGTTACTTTTAGTAACTCCTACAAATTAAAGCTCATTTTCTAAGTTTTCATCCATTTAGAAGAAACGAACATTTTCAAGATATAAATTTTCTAGTATTTATCAGGTATAAACTCGTTTTCTTTTTGCTAATTGCAGCGTTCTCCTCCGCTTTATTGAAACAAGAGAGCCTCCTGTAAAGGTATTCTAGGCGTTGACAAAATTATAACGATCCATCAGGTAATAAAGTGCCATCACTTTGGTAGATATAGCCACTCCCTTTCCATCACTCTACGTAATGAGAAAGGAACCAGATAAGAAATGATTGATTCTGAAATCTGAGACGATGACTTCTTCCCGTTTTAAAATACAGTAAGGCTTTGCTAACTCGATCTCGTTTAACTCCCACGTAATTCGTGTATTTCAGTCATCTCTATCTGTAAAATATTTCCTTCGTTACCCAGCTCTCCCCTCCCTCCCCGGATACTGACATCAACATCTGGTAACACAACTGCAGTCATGGACACATATATAAGTGGTATCCTCCCCTGAGCCCAGGTTTCCATTTTGCAGGATACCGCTAGAGGTAAGGCCGAACAAACGCTTTTCAATTGATTGGGAATTGTACAATCAAAACCACCATGTTTACACATTTATAAAAGGACGCCCTATGTATCACAAATCAAACTCGTATTTTTTTGATAATTTTCAACCAGCACTGATGGCAGAAAAATTTTTAGTCGTCTTTAAGGGCTGAAAAACAAAGAAACTAAGTGTTTTGTATTAGAGTTCTACTATTACTATAGAGTAATGCGTCAATCCGATCAATTGATCTACACAACTGTTTTATTGGAATACAATGAACTTGATTATATAACGCGTTCTGTAGCAAGCGTGAGGTCAAAATGACTGGATATTGGCAGAGTTCTTTTTTCGCCTTTTAATGGACCAAGACGAAGTTCAGGTCCATAAAACGCAAGAAAAAGAACAAGCTAATATCCAGTCATCTTGACCGAATAAGCTTGGTCAATAAAGGATTTGTTGTATAGAAAAAATATTTCGCTTTGACAAGAATCAAGAATGGCTTGCTTCAGTGATTAGATCATCTAATAGCTGTGGTTTTTATCCAAATAGGTTCAACTAACACACCGAGTCAAACTGATCATATGAAAATTGAAACTCGAGTTTGGTTTTTAGCTGATCAAGAAAAACAAAGTGATTGTATAATAACCTTTTCACAGTTAATTTAAAATCATATTTAGAGAATCATGTTTTTATATGTGATGATTGAAATACACAAGAATATGAAGAATTGACTTCACAACTTGTTTTGCGCAAAATGCTAACTAAAGTATCATTCTTTACCGGTTATTAAACGACCAATCATCAACTGGCAACTGTAATTGCAATCATTTAATACACGCTAACTTAAAAGTGTTGCCATGTGCCCTTCATTGGAGAAATGTGATGGTTACCCAGCCAGGACCAGCGCTATTATGGCAACATTCATTTTGTTGATTTGTTCCATTGTTAAAAGATCCTCCCCCTCCCCCACAGGAAATATCCTGATCAGCCCCGCCTTTTCCCCCAGAGTAACCTCCTCCGCCACCGGCTCCTCTGTTTCTTTCACGAAAACCACCGCCACCTCCGAACCCACCCCTATGCTTTCCACCCTTTCCTCCCTTAAGATATCCTTTCCCACTTTTACCACTAGAGGACCCTGCATTTTGTCCATTACTGTACAGGCCGCCGCCACCACCACCTACAATACAATCAAAAACTGATCAGTGTTTCTCTTACGAACAAAAAAACCAAGCAAACAACGATTGGCAGCGTTTCCCAGCTAAGTTTATCTCTTGAGTTTTTTGGAGGTTTAATTCAAATTAAAATTTATTTGCCTTCTTACTTAATATATTAACTATTTATCGATAGTTTAATGTATGGCGAGGTGACCTCTAGAAACCACAAGGCTTATAGTTGAGGCCACCTCGTATGTAACAATATGTTTGCAAAGATAGTGCTACAAGTGTGCGACTTTGCCGACTCAGCAATTATTTTAACAAAAACCTGTGGTAGTCTTTTCCTAAAGTTGGGAAAACTTGACAGAGAAAAGATTGTAACAGGAAGGTAATTCCAGATCTTTGGACCTTGGTAAAGAATTGTGATTTTTTTCAGATTAGTTTGGCAATGTACAATGCACGCGATAATTATTAACTGTTCTGCTGTTATAGCCATGAATTTGAATGTTTGTCAAAAACAAGTTGAAAAAAAATGGAGGCAACGAGTTGTTAGGATAGCTGTGCATAAATGTAGCTGTTTGAAAGGTATTGACATGATAAATATCTAAAATTCCTAATTTGAAGAATAAAGGAGCAGAATTTCCTTTATAGTATGAATTGGTAATAGTTCGCACAGCCCGTTTTTGCAAACAACAAATTCTATAAAAGTGAGTTACGTAGCTATGTAGACGACCATGTAGAGTTACAATAGGTGATATAAAGATAAATTAGCGAGTAGTACAAAGTACGTTTAGGTTTTGAAGATAGATAGAGGCGGGAACTGAAAAACATTCATTTTGATTTAGAGATTTGTTCACATAAATAGCTGCTATGATCTTTCCAAGTAAGGCGCTCGTCAATATATACCCCGAGAAATCTAGTAGCGTTGGTTTGTGTTCCAGATTACTGAAGAGGATTTCATAATCGATGGTATCAAATGCTTTAGAAAGATCCAGATCGATACTTACAGCGGTTTCATGTTGATCAATTGCAGCCGGGATTTTATGAAGTAGATGAATTAGCGTGTGTGATGTCGAGTGATTTTTACGAAAACCAAACTAACGGAGATAAAATATTTCCTTTGTTTCGGAAAATTCGACTACGCGATTGTACATGACCTTTTCAAAGAATTTTGAGAAATTTGGCCATAATATACAAAAAACTCTGATCCTTTGTTTCGTAGATGGGAATTACTTCACCAAATTTTTAATTTATCTAGTGGAAAGATGCCTTTTAATACAAAAATGAGCGAGAAGTGGCCGAATTCACAGTGGGTATAGCACTCGCTAAGTTAGGACCATAGTTGGTAAAGTACTTACAGAATCTGTTAGCGATATTCATGGGATCCGTGACTGTTTTGCCATCGGATATTGTTAGTAATAGAAAAGCTTATGAGGACAAGTCAGCGTTAAAATGTTACTGTTAACCCTTTTATAGTGCTTCCATTTAATACAGATCAGCAATTAACGAATAAGAGGCCTAGTCATCTATTTCCATGTCATCTCCTGCCGTATATTCTCAAATCGATGTCAAGAATTGAATAAATAAGTGGATAATTTGAAAATAAAAGAGTCAAATTTAACAGAATCTTGGATGGGGCGCTTCCAAAGATCTCATCAGAAAAAAGCTTTCAAATTAGCATAGAAAAGTTTGATGATTCCCGTTTTTATACAAAACTTTCAAAATTTGATTTTTAGCGACTTACTCTGTCATTGGGTTAGGAAGGGATGACTGCAACATTTCGACATTTTTGAAAAGAAAAGTCTCCACCTACCAGAATTACCACCATTTTCTTGTCCTCCATGTCCGTCTCTTCCACCCGACCCCAATGGCAAGTTGTTCCCTGCATTCCCTGTTGTATTTATAGACGCATCGCATCCCAGATGTTGTTCTGACATTTCTTTAGCTCCCCCTCCACCTCCAGCTATGATCAAAGGCGTGTCGTTTTCTCTCACTACAAAAGTACCTCCTCCACCTCCGGCAGTTTTGTCGTTCTTATCGCCACTTCTCCCTTCTTGACCAACAAGGACGCGTATGATCTCATCTTTGGACAAATAAAAGTTTCCAATCATCCGTGCCCCTCTTCCTCCGTTTTTTATGATACTATTCTTACCGTACCCCCCTGAGGCTCCTATTGCATCTATTCTGTATTCACCGGTGTATGGCACAGTCCATTGTTGAATACCTCTGGACACTGTAACTAGTCCGTCGTGATCCTCACCTCTGTAGTAGCTACGAATTGAGACTGGACCACTTCTTCCGCTTTCACCGAGATTTGTAAACACAGCTGTAAATCCTGTATAATAAACACACGATAAAAGTGAAAGGGTTTACAGTCAACTCGCCACCACAGCAAATTCGCCAGAACAAAACTTGCCACCACTCGAAGTTAATTCGCCACTGGTGGCGAATTGACTTTTTGGTAACTTGTAGCTAGCCTCTCGTATGAAACTTACATCAAATGAAAGCTAAAATGAAGTAGTACATTTCGAAGAGGCCGACGGAAACGGACTCAGAAGTAAGGTGTAGTGTCTCAATAGTGGAACGTTAAACGAATTAAAACATATCGAGTTTGCGAAACGAGAGTGTTATTCGCCGAATGATTTTCACTAAGTGATTTCTGCCGATATGAATGAAATCGTAGGAAACTTACATCATAGAAATGTTAAGAAGTCGAAGTATATTTCAAAATCAGAAGCGCGTACAAATCCAGTGACGTTTACTCAACATACTCTGGTGTCCTTTCTTTGTTTGGTAAATCCTTTGTTTCAAGCATAAAGAGTGATGACGTGAGCTTTAACACCAGTCTCGTTCTTATGAAAACAATTCGCAGTCAAATCAAATGAAACCTATATCATACGAAAGGTTAGATCTTGAAGTTTATTTATCTTTTAGTAATTATGATGCGAAATTAATAGTGCGGCAAAATTCAGTAGAAAGCGACTTGGCGTCCTCTAGGAGTTATGATATGGGTAAAAAATTGTCAAAATGTTTTGGGTATTGCCAGTGTTACCCAAGAGTGCTTAGGAAAAAAAAATCCTGCAAACTCGGCAGAAAAAGAGGTGGAAGAAGAATCTCCAGAGACCCGTTAGCAAGCAACAATACCAAGTTGATCATTTTCTTCCGGCTCCACTAATATCTATACGTGGCTTAAGATCCAATGAAAGCTAAAACGAGTCAGAGAGCGGTAGAATATTAAAGCAATCACAATACACGGTTCCTGGCCCGCGGGGCGCTTTTTTTAAATGTGAAAAGTGCAAGATCTCACGCCCTAAGTAAAGGGCGGGGGAATATAACCGCATTTTAAAGTAATTTACCCACAGATCACCGCTGGGAGTTAAACATAATTTTTTCTTTTCTTTTATTTAACTTATTTATTAGAATTATGAATTGAATTGGTTATTCTCAGCTTGAGCCACAGGTTTTTACACTAAGATGTTAAAAAAGTATACATGGACATAATGACATCTAACCAACAACTACTTACCAATACAGTTTGTGCCACTTGTGCCCCCGTAACATAAGGAGAGGTAAGATAGCATGATGTATTACGAACAGTTACCTGTGCAGTTAATTTGGATTTTATCAACTGAGTTGATAGTGTAATTTGGCCGCTGTAAAGTGCTTCAAAGCTGACGTTTCGAGCGTTAGCCCATCGTCAAAGCGTTAGCCCCTCGTCATTTGCTCTGACGCTCGGAACGCCAGTTTTCAAACTCTTTACGGTGGCCAAACTACATTATCAACTCAGTTGATATAATCCAAATTACCTTGTTACTCCCACCGACGCAACACCGCAGTTTCTTGAACTTGCCCCTTTTATTTACCTGTGCAGTTAGTTCCATTGCCATGAAATCCATCTTTACACGTGCAACTGTAAGATCCCAAGGTATTGTTACACACAGCATTCTCAGCACAGCTGTTTGTTTCGTTAGAACACTCATCTATGTCTAAGACAGTAAAATGAGCATCACAGTTACATCAGGGTTGTGGTTTTGAAATGCTCTAGCCCCAAGTGTCTTAACTTCCATGCTAACGTCTATTTTTGCCAGATAAGAATACTTACCAGTACATTTTTTCTCATTTTCTTGGTATCCTTCCTTACACTTGCAGGTGTACGATCCAATAGTGTTACTGCATGTCGCATTGCCTTTGCAGCTGTGTTTTTTAGTGACGCATTCGTCTACATCTAAATGAAAATGAAACAAAATAGTTATAATGATAGTGATGATAACAAATATAAAAGAGAAAAATTGAAAGAAGAGAATAGAAAACGTAATGCTTTTCATTGTGTGATACATTTATTCGTGCCTGATCTTGGCATAGAATTCGTGTCAGTACAGATATACTGATGAAAAACGCAACAAAAAACCAAGCAGTATCGATAGTGGTAAAGGAAGATAATTAAAAAACACCTAAATGACGGACTTAGCTTCCAAATGAGCAATGAAAAGTCACAGAGATTATCACGTGGTCCTCTTTTGTATGTGGTTTTCCTCTTTATTCTTCCAAACCATCGAACACATAAAACGTTTTAGTTTGGAGATCAATAAAATGATCAGACTCCTTCGTTTGCGCATATATTTTGATGGGGGTACCAGGAGGGTATCATTCTGTGCGTTCATACTAAATGATCAAATTTGAATATATGGCGTCCGCGCTGCCGGCCTTCAAAATTTTGAAGTCGGATTTTTCGTTCCTTTGCGATCGAGTTCGACCTTGTGGAACAAAGAATATAAAGAAGCAATGCTATAGAATACACTCCTTGAAAAATAATGAATATCAAGGTCTTAAAGATGACAGAATAAGCTCTCAAGCCAACGACAGTACGGCTCATCCTCGGTGTAAAAACCTGTGAAGCTCACGAGTGACGTATAACAAAGACAACAAAACATTATAAACAATAGCGTACATCCAAACAATACCTCATGAAACAAAGAAAACCTCGTCAGGTTTTTACACCGAGGACGACCCACAAATTTGCGTATTCCTTTTGAAATATGACTCGCGAGCCTATTTGCACACATGCGAAAATATTTAGCGATTTTTATCTTTTGTCTTCATTTTTGAGTAAAAACATAATACGCACCTAGCGCTAAGTACTAAGGCGTTAGTACACGCCTTCGTTACGTGCAGATTAGACAACTGTAATTCTCTGTCATATGGTCTTCCGAAACATTTAGTTCATAGATTGCAATTAGCCCAGAATTGTGCGGCACGTTACTCCTTTACTGAGGAAACTGCACTGGCTCTCCGTGGAGCAGAGAATTATTTTTAAAATCTTATTTTTTACTTTTAAAGCTTTAAATAATTTGTGCCCTAGTTATATCAATGAATTGTTAGAAACTTGTAAGCCTACTAGGTCTTAACGATCATCGAGTAGGAACTTGTTAGTGATTCCTCGCTCCAAGTTGAAATCTTACGGCGATCGCGCCTTTTCTGTCTCTGCACCTAAGCTGTGGAATGACAATTCTGAAACCATAAAATGTAGTGTAGATTTTAACGCTTTTAAGCCTAATCTTAAAACTTATTTTTTATATTTGATTATTATTTTTACTTTTTACCTTAATTGTAAAGCGCCTTAGAGCTTTTGGATAGGGCGCTATATAAATTGTCATTTATTTATTTATTTAGCACTTAACTTCCTTTATTTGTTTTCTTTTTTCTTTTTCGGACACAATAATCATTTTCCTGCATATATACATTCAAAAATAGAAGCATTGACGCCATAAATGAAATATACGCTGCAAGAGACAAAAGTGTATTCGGAGATTGGGCAAACTTTATTTCACGGATGAAAAACGTATAGTTTTAAACTCTTTTAAGATTATCATCACCCCACCACTATTCTTAGAAACAAAGGTCGCCATTTCGTTTGCTTATTCCCGTAAAAAACTATCAAATGCACTCAAAAGCCTAAAATCGAAACACAGTTCACAGGAATCGACCAATCGAGCGAGCGAGTACTATTCCTCACATCATATCTACAACTCGCTCTTGCGCATGCGCTCAATTCACAAGTTAAAAATGCTTTAAAAAGGAAGAAGAAACGATTATTGACGTCGATAGATGACACAAACCGTAAACTGTTATCTTCTATAGAATGGATCAATAAATATATGCCTGCGGTGTCTTCCTCAATGCAAAATAATGGCCTGAGTTTAATACAAGTTTAAGAGAAAAGCACTTCTCCCCCTCTGCCACGAGTTTCTTTCTTCTCTTTTCTTGGTATCAAACTTTTTCCCCCGACAGTCCTGGAATCTCGCAGCGTGCCTGGGCCTGCTCCTCTGCCTCTACTCTTGATTCCGATACCGAAATTGTTACCCTCATCTATATCTGTGACAATGACTAAAGGCAGAAAGTTTCTAGAGAAACTGTTCTGCTGCGTCGGTGGGGTTAACAAGGTAATTAGGCTATATCAACTGAGCTGAAATTGAAAATTGGCCACCGTAAAGAGTTTTAAAAAAGCTGACGTTTCGAGCGTTAGCCTTCGTCAGAGGAATTGTGGGTTGTGTGTGGGTTTATATGCAGAAAGTGGAGCTACGCTATATGCAGAAAGTGGAGCTACTCTCTCCCGGACACCTTTAGAACTTCCAATTTTCCAGACTTTCGGCGCCAAATACTTCAGTATGACTCCTTTGTGAAACTGTACTGAATTTAGTACTATAATAATATTTAAATAATGTTAATATTATCATTAATGTATTGTTATTCATTTACTCTAGTTTAGCTTATTCCTTTTACTTCATTTTAATCACTCCAAAATATTAGCTTACAGCTACTCTTAAGTTCGAGGTAAATAAAGTTTATGTATGTATGTATGTGTGTACGCTATTGGTGGGAACATGGCGAAGAGAAAAACACGAATAAATTAGTAGAATGAAAAGCGTTCGTTGATACCTGTGGGATTAAGAGTGCTGATTTGAAAGATGTACTTTTGTTCAAGAGTTTTGCGCTTTCCAAGCTACCTGAATCTAAGGAAAGACCGCAGATTGCCATATGTTGCTTAGAATAATTAGGTAGATTAAAGTGTCTAGCGACTGGTTTTGATACGTCCTTGTCATTCCTTTCTACGTCACGAGGGTGTTGTCGGGATCGGTCACCTAGCCGTCTTCCTGTTTCGCCGATGTATATCTTTTTACAATAAGTGCAAGTTATGCAACGGATCACGTTGGCTAAGGTGCACATGAAGTGATCAGTGATCTTAATGGATCGTTTGGGTCCCGACATTTTTTCAGCGTTGTGAATGAAATGACAAGTTTTGCATCGTGCGCGAGCGCATTTAAAAGTACCTGGTTGGTCATTAGTTTGGAATGAACTTCTGACCAAAAAATTGCCTGTTTTAGGCGCGTTTGAATTAAGTGAGTGGAGGTTGCGAAAAGGTGGTGCCAGTCTCTGGATCGTTTTGAAGTAATTTAAACTTTTTAAGAAAAATGGATTTAACTGAATGGTTGTGAGGGTAAAATGTGAGAGTAAATGGAATGCGGTCGGAATTTTCCTTCTGTGACGTTTGTAGTGCTGTATATCGATCAATAAGTTGGGCGCGGTGGTGACCCGCTTGCACGACAGAAACAGGGTAACCGCGTTTTTCGAAAAACTGGCACGTAGACTCTGATTTGTGAAAAAATCAGAGTCATCACTATATAAACGACAAAGTCTTAGAAACTGAGGAAAGGGAGAGGAATTCTTCACATGAGATGGATGCGAAGATGAATAAAACAAGTAACTATGTGAATCTGTAGGTTTGTAGTACACACTTGTACATAAACCGTTGCCTTCAATTGAAACTTTGATGTCCAAAAAGGTTGAATTATTGTCGGAAATTAAGTAGAGGAGGTAGCGCCGAAACAGTCGTCAATGTAGTGACCGTAGAGTTCAGGTTTGGGGCCGTTGTATTGGCTGAAAAATTGGTGTTCGACAAAACTTACCAAAATATTGGCACCGCTTGGTCCCATTTTGGTACCCATGGCTACGCCATTGGTTTGTTTGAAAAATTTGTCCCCGAATGAAAAGCAATTGAGCGTGAGCACTAGTTCAGCTAAGTGAAGTAGCCTATGAATCAGTTTTGGGAAGTTGACACCTTAAGCATTGACGAATGTTGTGCACTACCGATAAAAAGAGAGGAGGAGATAGTCCTTGATAAGGATCAGGTCTCATTTGTTCACGATGGAGAGCGCCAACGAGTTTCCAAACGTTAGACGCATAAATGTCCGTCGTTACCAAACAATTAGAGATGGCCTTTAACCGCCCTAGAAATACAGAGAAGCCTTTAACTCGACAACATTCACTAGGATAAGACTATCAGAGCGTAATCGCATCTTACCTCGAAAAGGGTTAAATTCATAAAAGTATTTCAAGCCGATAAAGAACCCTAATGTTAGTGATACCTCCCTCGCCTCCCCGTATGCCATCCTGAGAGGTCCACTACAAAGACGAGAACCGTATTTGATACCAGCGCAAAGTTTCAAGATGCATCTTTAAATGATAAATTCTACCGGCCCCAGGCTTGAAGCAATTCTGTTCGCAGGCCTCCTGCGCTTTCGCTGTTTTCAAGTGGCCATTTCATGGGGCGTCAATGAAATGTACTACAAATAAGCATCTCACTTATATACCGTTCGATGCATTTTGGAGTGAGGAATTTGGAAGTTGATCGAAATCCCGATGAAAAAGACTTTGAAGGGGTCGTGTTTGGAGATGCATCCGCTCTGCTTTGTGCCCAGTTTATTTCTCAGGAAACACTAAGAAAAAACAGTTGCCATTGCCGTGAGCAGGGTAGAGAAAAAACCCAACTTACCTATGTTCCTGTGGAATGAACGTTAAACACCTTATGACGATTCAACTTCAGTGGCGAGTCGCGCAATTACTTTCTCAAGCAGAAAACGAGTGGCCACAAGTGAAGATCGATGAGGTCTAAAGGTCAAAACCGAGAAGATGAATACCCTTTAGCCTCCCAACCACACAATTTCGTTTCTGTTGGATTCGTCGAAGATGTAGGTGGAAACTAGATGTTGAAAATTGGTCAAGTACAACTCACACAAGTGACATGGTGGATACTAAGATTTGCCGTGAACTGCCACACAAAGAGGAAGGACGGTTAGATGGTCCTCTTCCTTCAGACAAAATCAAGCAGAGTTACAAACAATCAAAGAGACACAACGGGCAGACTGATTTCGCCGCGGAGTTCCTAGCTATTAAAAAAGTGAGCGTTACAGAAGAGGAGTGAATCACCTAATGGACTGACGCTGACAATCGATCTTGATGGCTTACTTCGCTGCGATGGTCTTCTGAGGTTTACTGAAAGTCTACCTTACAACATACGATTTCCAATAATTTTCCCAGATGAAACTGGGTAACGAAACTTATCGTAAATTTATGTTACCCCCGGGTTCAAGCCATTTACTGCGAAACTTATCGTAAAGCACTATCGTGAGGATGAACACCACGTTACCGGAATGAGTTATACGCTTGCTTACCTCTCCGTCAGGCATCGAATGGTTGAAGCGAAAGACAAAACTTGGGAATGGGAAAAGGCATGCAGTAAGTGTAAAAAGTACAAGCGAAAAGAAAGTTATGGCGTAACTTCTAAGCATGCGACATCGTCAACCACTTCGTGCGTTCGCCCACGTGTTTCGTCCATCTTCCGTCCGTTCGTGACCATTCGAGGAAGAGAAATACAACCCCAAAAGCGATGGATGTGACCGTTCACAAATGTCTGAATAGACTATTAATTACGTAGTGAGAACACGAGAGAATTTATGTCCCGTGCGTATTTATTTAGAACTTATAAAAGGGTTCATTTTATATTAGATTTACGGTGCGAAATTTCTTCCGCTTCTGTCCGGTATTTTTTTGTAACGAAACCATGCAAATTAAAAACCTTTTGTAAGAGTGCCTTTCCAACGATTTCAGTGTTTTCGTGTTTCGTCCGACAAAAGTGATAGCAGAGCGAGGTTCCGACCGACCAGCGGGGTTGTAGCCGTGTAAAACTTTAAGAGGTCTTTATCATGTTAGATTAAAATCATTTACCTGTACAGTTGTTTTCATTCCTTTGAAATCCATCTTTACATGTGCAGTTGTAACATCCCAGGGTATTGTTAAAATCAGCATTTACATCAGAGCCATTTGTTTCTTTAGGAGAATCATCTATGTCTTTGACAACAAAATAAGCATCACAGTTATATCTGGGTTGTTGTGGTTTTGAAATGCTCTAGCCACAAGTGTTTTTGCTTCCACCCTAACGTTTATTGTTTCAGATAAGAATAATTACCAGTGAAGTTTGCCTCATTTTCTCGGTATCCTTCATTACGCCTGCAGATATACGATCCAATGGTGTTATTGCATGTCGTATTGCCTCCGCAGTGGTGTTTTTTGGTGACACACTCGTCTATATCTGAATAGAAGTTACCAATTTAAAATAGCTATAACGATAATGACTATGACAAAAATATAATAGAGAAAGGCGGAAAGCAGAGAATGGAAAAATTAATGCTTTTCATCGTCACGGTGATATATTTATCGAATGATGGTCTCCTCTCTGATCTGGCCTAGAATTTGCATCCATTTTTACTGACATATACTTCAACAGTTGGTCATTATAAAACAAGTCGCAAGAAAAAACATAAAGTGTTGATCGTATTGATCATGAGCCATGAGAAGTGATAAAGATCATCATGTGATCCTGCTTTTTCAGTTTAGCTTGTGGAATTCCTCGTCATTGACATAAAAGGTAAAGGTTTACAACTGAGATGATTTGTCAGCGATTATTTTGAACTCATCCACTTCCAAACCACAGAGGATGATTAGTCCAGCAACATCTTACATTCGTCATCTTACTTACTAACTGGTGTCCTTACTTAGTGGATAACTGCTATTATTAAAAACTAGATCATTGGATAATGCAATTCACGACTTTTTATTGGCTTAGCCACTATGGTATATCAGCCAATATA